TAGGAAGAAGTGCAATCACAATCAATTACACAGATAAGCCATGGATAAGCAAACTTTTCTTGGAGTTTGAACTCCCCAGTATCAATAGAAGGATAGTCATGGTAGACGATTGCAGCAGTGGTGTAACTAGGGAAGGGGGACCCTGGTTACTGTCTTGTGGGAAGAGAGGTGAAGAATAACAGCTGCCACTGCCAGCTGCATGATCGTGATTGTAATTGAACTGGCAGCACAGACAGAACTGGAACTGGAAATGTATGTTGCCTCTGTACACTGGATGCCCAGCTGTCTTGCTATGCTGCTGGATCATAGATTTAGTAACTGCAGGCAAAGACAGAAGTGACAATTTTTGCCCTATCTGGCCAGAGAAAGTGATCTATAGCCTCAAACAAACACAAGTGCATGGCTGCAGACAACTTAAAAAATGGCTGATAGGTTGAAAATTTGGTCTGGGGGCTTTTCAGCCCCTACTGGAGGGTGGGGTGGCTGTATTGGGGAACCTCCAAATCACCCATCATACCTTTCAGCACTGGCTGGGGAACCCCTAGAACATAGGAGACTGGTGGGGGAGGGAGAACAGGGGGGCACGTGCCCCCCTGAGATTGGCTGCTGCTGCAGGCAACTTTTGCAGGCACCACCTCACCCCCACTGCTGCCGACACCAGTGCCAGCTTCTGCAGGCAGTTGACACTCACCACCCTGCCACCACGCTGCTGCCCACAAACCATGCCCCACTAGGCTCAGGAGGCACCAGTCACCCATGCCCTAGAATAAGCTCCCTCTGCTCCCTTTCCCCACTCCCATTCTGAAAACTTTGCAGCCTCACAGGGAAGAGGGGTCATTGCTAGGGGAAACTGGCAGCAGGCTTACAGCCAGCAGCTAGATTCTCCTCTTTCCTGAAACCAACAGTGAACTTACGGTTGCTCCGGCAAAGTGGTCTGAGTTACAGCGGGAAGCTGCACTTTTGTCTACAAAACTATTGAAGCACAGGGTTTTTGTTTGTCCAGGTACAATGTAAATTGCACATCTTTAGGCAAGTTTTTAATTTAGTCCTAAATATACCAGGACAGGTGGATATTTACAGTCCTCATCACATTTTAAATATGATTTTACCTAATGTTTGGGAGTGAGTAGCTAGATGCCTTGTTTTTTATTTTATTCACTTATATATTAGTTTGTTTTGTAGCAAAAGCCCCAGTTTTTCTTTTTCTTCAATTTGTTGATTTGGATCACTGTCCCTGATTCAATTCAGCTGAATCTGAACCTGAAGATTCGATGCTGATTTGTATAATCAGCAATTTGGCCATAGACACAGCTTTAAATACTTTTTCTACATACTTCAAGGTACCAGCATGGCTTGTGAATACTGTATTTTAGTTTAAAATACATTCCCTCCCCTTAACCTCTGAATCAATTTGGAGAGATCTGGAAGGATTTGGTGATTCGGACATAGACATAGCTTTCAGTGTTTTTTCTACATACCTCTAGGTAGCAGGCAGTTCATGAATGCTGTGATGCTGGGGTGCATGGAGTGTCCCACAGAAGTGTGGGGGACTCCCCAGTGTGCTTGGCAGCAGACCTGGAAGTGGACCAGAAGCACTTCCGCTTCTGACTTTCTGTCCTCTCTATCCCTTATAAGTGATAACAAGTAGTACTAGGTAAGCTAAGATAATTTCTTGTATGCTATTATTGTAATAAGCCCCTTTTTATATTGTAAATAGTGTTCTGTTATGTTTGTATTGATTTTTACTGTTTTATATTGTATTATATTGTATTCCTATCATTTTTTTGCATTGGTTTTTATTGTTTCATATTAATATTGTATGGTTTAGGCCTGTGTCTGTAAAGTAATGTCAAGTTTCCATTTTGTATGTTAAGCCTCCATCTTGTGTCCTTTGCCCGGGTTTAACCTATGTTGTAACTGTGACTCATGTCTAACCAGTCTCATGCAAATTAGTTCCTGAATGAATGGGGATGAATGAAGGTGTTTGAGATACAACAGTAGCAGGCCTCTACTGGATAATCAACTCAACAACTGGACCATCAGCTCAACAATTTGTATTGACTCACCCAGGAACCAAGGACCTCACCTAGAAACAGAGACGAAACCCAGCATTTGAAAGACAAAAACCCTACAGAAACCAGCAACCCCACCATTGTGTCCTACCAGACAGTGAGGACACATGGATCTGCATGTATGCATTTGAGCAGGACAGTCCTTACCTGGACATGTCCCTCCCATAGGAGACACAGGTAGCCTACCCCTATAAAAGGGCTGGTAGATTGAGACCTCCTTGGGATGCCCTCTCCATCTGGACCAGCACCACACCAAACCACCTATCCACCCAGAGGCCCTTCCGGCAACTCCCTCTGGACAACTGCTTGCTGGAGAAGACCCTGACTGGCCATCGAGGATCAACTCACAGCCCAGGATAGGTAGCTATCATCCACCTTCCTTCTCCAAGCAAAGGATCTGGACTCTGTCCCTACACACCTTGACTTCAATCCGTCCACCAAACCTTTTTCTCTCCTGCGACCATTATGTGGGTGTGTATGTGAGTGTTTGTGTATGTGTGTGTGTAGGAACCAATAACTTCATGGGGCTGTGTAGTGTGTTGTCTGTTTAATAAACCTGTTATTTTGAAACTCCAAGTTAGGTTTTTGTCTTATTGACCTCCTGACCCTCCTCCTTGATTTCCTGGCTATCTCCCAGCTTTCTGCCTCTCTGTTTCCTCCTTGCCACCACTTGTCTGCCCCCTGATCTCCCAGCTTTCTACCTCTCATTTCCAGCTCCTATTTCCCACCTTTCTGCCTCTCTGTTTCCTGGTTGTCTCCTCTTTGCCACAGGGCTTTTTCCCTTGCTTTCACCTGAGCACCAGGTGACCCTGAGTAACCCCGGGGCACATTAACCCTAAGTAACCCCAAGCTCCAGTGACCTCAAGTTACCCCCGGGCCACTTGACCTTAAGTAACCCCAAGCATCAAGTTACCCCAAACACCCCCTAGGGTTAAGGTACAGCCATGAAAGTGTGTGTTTGTGTATGTGTATTGGGTATGCGGGTATTAACAACTGATTTTTGTCAATTTTTGGTTTGTATAGTGTGTATGTACTTGAATTGGTGATAGGTGTGCATGTGCTTAGACTGGTAATCTTGGATGTGTATGTGCCTGAGTTGGTAGTGTGTCTGTATGCACGTAATTGAATTTTGTGTTTGTATATGTGCAATTGTGTCAGACCGTCCCATCTAGCAGCGCAATTTTGAGATCTGAGAGTTGGCCTGGCCCCACAGGACAACAGTGTGGTTATATAGATTTAAAGTAAGTAAAGTGACACCTATCCTAGTTAACCAAACACATTTAATAATATAATAAAATTGCTGTAGCATTCTTGTAACAATTTGTTTAACAGGAACTCATTCAAACCCCAATATGAAACTACCTTCCATCCCTTTATCATCATAGAAAGCCCTACCTCAGCCCTCCCTGAAAACCCTATCAAACAGATGGCTGTTGCAGAGTACTAAGGAAGTCACAACATTCATGTTATTTAAAGGGTCACTATTTCCAAACACTTGTGGCCCTCCTGCAAAATGTTCTCTCATTATCCCTTAACTTTTACAGTGTGGCTGTATGGCATGCTAAGAAACATCATACCTCCATATTATTAAATATTGCATACAACAAAAAACAAATGACCCTCCCAATCCCCCAAGCTCCCCCAATCTTCCTCCTGCCCCAACTGTATTAAAAAAATACTCTAAGGTTGCAAAGTTGAACACTCAAAAATTAGGAAATGCCAGAAGTAATGTTGTCTGTATAATTTTAATTCAGCCTCCTGTATAGCCTTATGATTCAGCCTCCTGTTGCCTGTATAACATTATGATTCAGTCTTTGCTAACACAACATTTTCTCACAAGATACCAGCCACATTTCATATGTAGGATAGATTGTGTTCTTTTAAAGAACAGATATTCATATAGAATTCAGTACTCTAGGACATGAATTCAGCTGCCTTCAATGGCAATCCTTTCTCTTTCTATATTCTAATTCCTTCATTCACTTCTTGATTTTTGCAACAAATCAAGTAGAGGCCAATCTGCTTCAGTATACAGCCTTGATCAGAGTCAGCCTAAAGGGTGGGCAATAGAGATGACAACCTAGGGCACCATGGTCAGGAGGGTGCCACACATACAAACATTTACAGCAGTGCTCTCCTCCTACCCTGCCCCCACCCTGCTCTGCCCTGGCTGATCCCCACCCCAGGCAGGAGATGAGGTGCCCAGCCCAGCTCATTCCCCACCTTCAGCCACTGATCAGGAGGAGCTGGGCCAGGCAGTGCAGGTGGTAGCAGTGGTGCCTGCCCGCTTGCCTTGTGCACCATGTCACTCTGTCTCCCTACTGGACTGCATCCTGTGTGCTTGCCTAATCACCTCTTCTTGCAGCAGTGCCACTGACTTGTGCATGGGGGGACACCAAAATGCAAGTTTTCCCAGGGTGGTATTTTCCCTAAGGCCAGCTCTGGCCTCCATTCATCTCCACAGGGAATCCATATGGTGCACTGTGTCAGCTATCGAATGATTAGAAGTTAGAGGGATTAGCAGGCCTCTTAACTTGAGCAGAGAGGGAATTTCAACCTTACCAATCAACCCATGGGAAGCAACTTTAGGTGTAAAAACTAATTTAAAACCTCATTTTTTTGTGATACAGGATGGTGGAACACATTAACAGAACAAAACAAAACAAAACATGTTGACTTAGGTTAAAATACAATTAACAACCAATTATCATTGGGCTATGGTTTTATTTGAACCATCCCAATTGTCTAGTACACCAAGTTGAGAAACCAGATCAGAGAACTACAAGTGGGGATGAGAGTTCATTATTTCATCTTCATCAGCAACTAAGAACTAGAAGGTAATCTTTTTTGTTTCTTCAAAAGTGCAATGTGGCCATTGCTTTTTAATTTTTTATTTAAAAAGCAGGTATAGTCAAGGATGAGCAGTTTGTGAGTGAGCATAACTAAGACAGGTTTCTAACTCTGAGGAGCAAAATACAGTGATTTTAGACGATAAAGGAAAATACAATTATTCCATTTCTTTATTTGAAATGCTATCTGAAGTAGGAAGAAAGCTTTAAATCATTTCAACATCTACATTGCAATGACTGTTATTTCAGAACTGTGCTTATAGTGAAATTCTTCTGTGGGGAAAAAACATATTTTTAGACTAAAAAGCTTTTTCTGCATATAAATAGAGTACAAAAATCACTGATATCATTGGCTGCCTATACACCTGTTTGGGGGTTGCTGGAGAACCACACTAATTAAAATGCCTCAGAGTCACATGCCTTGTGCATTTAAAAATATCAAAGAATGCTTTAACTAAAGCTTTAACTAACAAATGTTTAACAAGCATTAGTTAAAGCACACAAGTAGCCATTTTTAAACCCACAGGGGTTTATACATATGATGCTGCAGCACTGTTAGAGCATTCTCATTCAAATGCGGAGCAGTCTTGATTAATTGAGTCTGTTCCAACACATTCTAATTACAATGCATCAGAGCACATGTATGGGCACCCATTAAGTCTATCTGTCTAGATCCCCATTAGAGGTTCATGATGCGCATTCAGTAATCATAAAGTTTAAATAAAGTATAATTTCATATTGCATTCCCATGGAAACTCTACTGTACATGTGTTTTATTTATGACACATATGTTTCTCCTTTTGCAATGTTTCCCAGAAAATGATCTGTTCCGTTGGATTAATTCCATGGGAAGTAATTATGTTGTTATATACACAAGTAGAAAATGGGACTTTATATATGTTAAAAAATGAATTTCTGAGTGGGGGTGAAATAGTGATTCCTTGTCTTTCAAGACAGAGAGCTACAAAAATATCTTCCAAATGTACATATTTGACCTTTAAAGAGGCGCTGACAATTTTTGGAACTACTGCTCTAGAAAAGACATAGCCAGTTCCTGAACAAAAATCTGGGTATCGATCACCTGGGTAAAGTTCTTTTGGCATGTACCATTTACTGTCAGGATTACGGATAGGCTCATGATTTTTCATAAGACAACCAGTGAAAAAATACTGTGAAGGAGATATAATGGGCCTCAGTAACTCCTGTATTAAATATATTGTATTCACAAAAACATCGCTATCTGTTTTCATGATAAAACTTGTGCCATTACAATATGTGGCAATCCACTTAATGCCCATCATAGTTTTAAGAGTTAAGTTATTATAGGTGTCTAAAAAGTCTTGCTGAATAATGTCATGGTATTGCCTACTTTCCTGCAATATATTTTCATTCTGGTCTTTGTCACTAAAACCCAACATAAATAGGCGAACAATTTTAATTCCAGGAACCACAGATTCATTTCCCCAAGTTTTCCTGATGGCTTCTCTGTGCTTCTTTTCATCAGCTCTGGTTGGAATTAATAGTACCAAAAAAGGAGTTTTCTGCTTACATTTATCTTTTTCATTAATAAGAAATTGGAATGGGTGAGGGTAAATGGATGAATTTGAGGCAGACTCTGTTGTCTCTTCATTAGCAAATTGTGTCACAGTTCCACTTTGTTTCTTTTCTTTTCTGTTCCTTATGAACTTCTGAAAGCTGGAAATGTTGCTTTTCTGAAAAATGATTTCATTTGCTTTGTCAGATTTATGAAACTGTTTGGCAGTTACTGCAAATCCTTCCATCAAGTTCAAACCAGTGTTTTCTTGATTTTTGATTTTGGGTAAAATGGCCAAAAAATTACAAGTATTAGCAATGAGGCACAAACATATTACTAAAAAAAAGATGGATGCATATAAGAAAACACTTAACTTAGCAAACTGCCAAGGAATGTGAAAATATTTTCTGTGGTGGGTCATTCTGATAGTTATTATAGCAGAGACAAAACAAATGTTGCTTTTAATTATGAAGGTATTCGATCAGAAGAAAAGCATTTATCTTCAGCTGACTGGTATCCTCTGTGACAATTCAGATGATCAAAATCATATTTGGAGGACTGATTCTTCATGGTTCTTTTTTAATGAAAGTTTATGCCATCCTAGAATATAGTGTACATTGGTCATTTTCTTAAGAAAAGCAAGAAAAATAGAACACAATTTTGAAATTTATTGATAACTTCATACCTTATCTGAGGAAAATATAAACATAAAGTGATAAATGTGTTGTTAAAGACAATGGAACTTATACCATGCATTACAAAATTGTCAGTGGTTATCAAATTAAAAATGGTAATTTGTGAAATACAACATACCATATGTTGTATGTCTTCTCATTATAAATGGGAGCCTTTAGTGGAAATACTATAATCCATGAATATTAAGGGAAGAAGAAACCCCCCAAAAGACAAGCACCTGTAAATAGAAAGCAGCACATATTTTAAATATGTTTATACATGCACACAACACATTTTATTAATATATATGTTTTTACATGCATTTATATGTGTATATAAATATAGGTCAATTTGATATGGTACTTAAGTTTCTTTAGTAGTCTACTATTATCTTATCTGTGAAGATTACATACCTCATCTTCAACTTTGCCTAAAATTAGTATGCTTTTATATTTCTTTTAAAATGTTACTACATATTTGTGAATGCAGGTTTGGGAGATGCCTAAATAATGCAAAGACTAGTACTATGTAAATAATTTATGTAATAAGAGGTCCTTTAGTCACAGGCCTTATCAGTCATACCTTCTCATCTGGATGGACAAACTCTAGGACCTGACGTAAGTTTGCATTATCTGCAGTAAATCAAAGTCAAACTCTGATCAGTCTTGCATCCCCAAGGACAGGAAAAGTACAAATCTATAACGTTTTGGCAATAACCTCCAGTGTCCAGAAGAAAGACAGGTATTGAAATGTACTAGTTTTCTGTTCACTAGAAAAGTATGGTAGCAAAGGGTCTACTATACAGGAAATGGCCTTTCAAAAACTGGACCCTGGAAAGGTAGCCAAATTGTGAGATGTAAGAGTTTAATTTAGCCAAAATAAAGGAGTTCTAAGTATAGGGTCTTCTGGTACATCCTCCCCACTGAAGCTCTGGCTATTAGTAGAGAATTTGTAAAATAAGCAAAAGCAAGGGGTTGGTTTGTTTGCATGTTTTCTTGGGAGTATCTTTTGATTTTTTTTTTTTAGGGGGTGGGGGTTGTGATATTTTTTTATTGCTTCAACCATACAGTCCAGAGTCATGTTGCACAAACTTTCACACCTACCCCTTGGTATAGGGGAAATATTAGACTTTGTTCTACCTTTTTTTAAACCAGTATATGTGAGCTGAACTTCTATTCTGTTTTTGGGTATAGACCAGTTTTGTGTGTGAAACTTGTATTCTAGGTTTAGACTGGTTTCTGATCACTTATATCAGTAAAAGCATAATGTCTATACCTAGCCATATAGTGACCTTCCTCCAATCATGGCTGCCCAGATCTGAAAAAGTGTACTTTGTTCTCAAAAGCTTCTCCATCATCTTCTACAATTGTATATCTGGTTCAATAAAAGATACTATAAAAAAAACCTTGCCTCATAATTTCCTAGAATGTCATGTCTTTTTTAATTTGTTACTCAAGCTTTTCCTGTCTTACTTCTGGTTAAAAGTCTGTAGCTCAGTCTATTGCTGTTCCTTTGGGCTAGGGACAGAAATTACACACAAACCAGTTTAAGCAATCAGAAAACAGTTTAAATCTGTAACAGAACAGAAGTTCAGCATACACAAACTGGTTTCAAAATGGATGAAATTTAGGAAAACCCCCAGTTTTTCTTTTTTTTTATTATTATTTATTTTAAAATGCATTCCCTCCCCTTCCCCAACCATTTCTGACTTTTTCTCTCCCTCTCTATTCCTTATAGATAAATATAAGCGAGCTCAAACTTAGGATAAGCTTTAAACATTTTTATTTTGTAGCAAGTTTTTGGTTTTGAATATCCACTGTTTTATATTGTATCATTATTAGGTTTGTATTGATGTAATATATATATGTTATATATATATATGGCATTGTGTGCATGATATATGAATTAGTGATCTGCGTCTAAGTTTTGGGATGTATAGTGTATGTGTTTGAATTGGTGATAGATATGCACATGCCTAGTCTGGTTTGAATGTGTATGTGCCTGAGCTGATAGTGTGTGTGTATGCACCTAACTGATGTGTGTGTTTGTATATGTGCAATTATGTCACAGCCTCCTGTCTAACAGTGCAATATTAAGATCCTGAGAGTTGGCCTGACCCCACAGGGCAAAAGAAACTGGTTTAAGATAGACCTGGAACAATGTAGTATCATACTTAACGGATTTAGATTAAATTGGTCTATTGAACTTCTGTCCAAGATCCCCTTCTTACTAAAGTTAACTCTCAGTCCCCCAGTATGTTTTGTGTATTCCCTGCCAATCCCCCTTGCAGGGCAAGTAGGCTAGCCTCTGTCCACTGTCTGCTCTAGAGGATCTGAGACAGCCCCACACCTGTAACAGAGTTTAGGCAGCAGAGCCCCTTCTCCATAGCCCAGCTGGTGGGCAGCCATAGGGGCTGCTGAGGGGGAAACAGAGCCCCCATCCCCAACTGAGTCTACGATGGCTATGAGCTGTGGAAGCCTAGGTCTTTGTGCAGGGGAGAGTCTGTGGTGACAGTAGGGGGCTGGGGACATGCCAATCAGAGATGTCCCTGCTCAGCTGGGCTCTGTTGCTAAGCTGGGAGGTGTGTAGGACCCCCGGCTCCCCCACTCCCGCCTTATGGTCTGGCTAGTGCAGGCATTTGCCTGCTTCCCTCCACACAAGGGTGAATGTGTGTTATGTTTGCTTACGACAAAATCTATTTAGCTTCGAGAACCCTGTAAAGGTTAATTCAATTATGCCTTGGGTTTTTTGGCTGTCTGTATTTAGCCATGGTATCATTGTGAATAATATTTTTTTAAATGAAACTGCCCATATCTCTACAATAAATTGTCAATTCAAACAAACAAAGCAAAAAAAAAACAACCCACAAAAACAAACAGAGAGAGAAAAATGGGTGTAACTATTTCTAAGGAACCTATGCATTGACAAATTAGCACTGCTTATAAGCTTTCTAGGGAGGTGTAAAGAACCCAACAAAGCATGGTTTACCTCCAATAGTCTTCCTTTTGTTTTTTTCATTGTAAGGGCTGTCTTTCAATGAAAAAATATCTCTTCTGAGCTGTCAGCTGTTTAGAAATCCTGAAGGCAAAAGTAAAACAAAAATGTCATGTAGAGGAAAATATTTCTTGGTGGTGAATGTTCAACTTTGGAAAATAGATGTGTAGACTGTTTTATGGTGACTCCTGAATTAAAAAACCCAAAAGGTCATCTTAATTTTTAAAACCAATGTAAAGGAAAAAATGTCACATGCAAGGGACCTAGTTAGTAGGGGGTGTGTGAAGCAGGATCTATTTGATTTGGATTTAGATTCAGCCTGAATCAGGGACAGTGATTCAATTTGTTGATTTGGATCACTGTCCCTGATTCAATTCAGCCGAATCTGAATCTGAAGATTCGATGCTGATTTGGAGAATCAGCAATTTGGCCACAGATACAGCTTTAAATGTTTTCTCTACATACTTCAAGTTACCAGCATGGCTTGTAAATGCTGTGACGCTTGGGTGGATGGAGTGTCGCACAGGAGTGCGGGGGTGGGGGGGTGGGCAGGCTTCCACATGCTCAGCAGTGAACCTGGAAGTGGCCTGGAAATACTTCCAGTCCACTTCTGTGTCCGCTGGGAAGTGTGCAGGGGATCAGTTTCAGGGGGACCCCAGGTGCCCCCCCAGACCAAGGAGGCACCAGTCGCTGAGCTGGGGAGATTGCAGGGGGGCCCCCAGTGTGCTCCCCAGTGGACCTGGAAGTGGACCAGAAGTGCTTCTGGTTCACTTCTTGGTCTGCTGCCGAGCACACTAGGGAGCCCCCCATGCTTCTGTGGGACACTCCATGTACCCCAGCATCACAGCATTCATGAGCCACCTGCTACCTAGAGGTATGTAGGAAAAACATTTAAAGCTGTGTCTATGTCCGAATCACCAAATCTTTCCAAACCTCTCCAAATCGATTCAGAGGATTCCATTTGATTCAGAGAGATTAAATGGTCCTCTGATTCAATTCAGATTCAGATATTCAGTCACTGAATCAGGCCAAATGTCCACCGATTCAAATCAGGGACTGAAGCTTTAGAGCTGAGAAATAAGGCTAGAGTTCAAATTAATTCAAATTAATGACCCCGCTCTCTAAGATATTCTGCATTTTTTTCCTAAGCATAGAGCTCACATATACACATGTTGGGCGTGTGCTCCAATGCATGCTAATTAGAAAAAAAAACTATCAGAAAAACATGTTAATTACCATGCCTTGGAGCAAACTTGATTAATGAAGTCTGCTGGAATGTGTTAATTAATGCACTCCAGCAGTCTCCATGCCACTTGTATTCAGCATCCCTGTGCTTCAAAACTGTGGCGGGGTGCTTGAACTAAAACTTGTCAAATGAGCTTTAGTTCAAGTGCCCAAACCACCATTTTGGATTTCAGGACACTGACTACACACGCCACTGCAGGTGTTTTAATTAAAGTGCTCCCCCCAGCCCAAAGCATGTACATAAATGCCCAGAGTGTCCATAATGGACTGTTTTTAGCACCATCAGTATGTGTTCTCTCAAGATGGAGGTTACAAAATGAAATGAAGGTATAGTAATACTTAAAGTGAAGCGGCAATGGCAAAAAAAAGTCCTATACACCCTTACACTGTCATAGTCTTCACTGAGAAACTGAATTGGTATACAAGTAACCAGTTCAGTCAAAAATCTCATATGCTTGTGTATTTGAAAGAGGTGACATCCTCGCCACAGAGATCAGAGGTAGTTTTGTCAGTGGGGCCAAGATTTCATCCAAAATTCTTTGGTTTTTGAACTACCAGATTTTTATATATATATATACACACACACACACACACACACACACACACACACACACACACACACACACACACACATACAGATTATATATATATATATAATGTAAGGAGTATCATATGTTTCTTTTATATGTTAGCTTCCTTTAGGAAAGGGGAAGGAAGAACTTTGCTTCAGCATTTCGAAAATTCGTACAAAAACTTTTAAGGACTATAAATCTAAGCATGGCATTACATACAATAAAGCTGCTAAAGAAAGAACATTGAAAAAATATTAAATTAGGATATAGTAAAAACAATACCTAGAATAAGGGTATCATTAGAATCTTGATATTATAAATTGCCAAGAACTTTCCTCCCAACTTCCCTAACAAAGTACTAACTCAGGAAAGTACTGTTTTATGATAAGATGTGGGGGAAAAAAATGCTAATTTTTCATTTAGAAACTTTATCTTAATTAATCTTATAATACTTGGAATGGTTGAAGTTTATTTTAGTAATTTCTGCCAAAACTGAATTTCAAGTGGTGGTTTTGTTAATTTTAACATTGTTGTTGTTGTTTTTTGTAACACTTTTGCAATTTATAATTTCATGTATGAAGCCAGATCAAATCAAAATTTACTTGGTAATATTTTTTTAAATTTTTCAGAGATTATTCATATTGCTCATAGATATTTCAGTAAACCATTCATATGAACATTCCCAAGCAACACAAGTAAAAGGTTTGCATAAAAAAACCCAACTACATTTGGTACCACCTTTTCACTCAAGTATATAAATATGGTAGCCAAGCCATCCAGCAATGCACATTTGAGTGTTTGTTCATAAAAATGATAAATGATAAATTCATAATTCAAAAGTCATTGGTCTACTGTTCTACTATTGTTCTACATTTGTTCTTCTATTGTTCTACTAATTGCTTTACTTTTATCTTAACCTACAAAACTTTGAGGGAAAAATTGAAAAGAAAGGCAAAATTTACCATTATGGAGATTACTGTTGCATTATCCTGTTCTTTATCATGCCAAATTTGCTTAGTCCAGTTTTCTTTTTATTTAACTTGTTTTTACACATGCATAAACCTTTTGAGTGTATTCCTGGAGCCACTGCAGAGGCAAGGGTACCTTTCTAGAAAACGTTCTTTAAAAGAACTTAGAAAGTTCATAATTCACAGTTTAAGATATTAGAAGTCATATAATTGGTTAAGAATTAATGCTACTGAATAACAAATGTTCAGTCTAATTTACAGCACTTAACACTCATTAAAAAGCTTTCAGACAAATGTGGGATGTGCATCAAATCCTTCCAATAGTAACCTTACTAAAATACAGTATCAAGGGAAAAAGTTTCTTACCCACCTGGATTCACGCAGCAGCATACACCAAGCTGACTAGAGTTCATTCACATTTATTCTTCTGAAAAAGGCTGGTGAAAAGTCTTATGACTCATGAATCACACCACGTACACTGAGTTAAGTGACATGCCAGTTATGTAATTTACTTCCTGTATGTCTCATAGATTTTTTTTTAACAGTATGAGTAGCTGAACTCCTATTTCTTTAGGGTAGTAATTTGTTTTAAATGAGGAAAGAAAAGCAGTTTTTAAATATAGTAGTTTTAGACTAGACATTAGAAGACACTACTTCACAGTCAGGGCGGCTAGGATCTGGAACCAACTTCCAAGGGAAGTGGTGATGGCTCCTACCCTGGGGGTCTTTAAGAGGAGGCTCAACGTTTACCTGGCTGGGGTCATTTGTTTTCTCTCCTGCCCACAGTAGGGGGTTGGAGTAGAAGATCTACAAGGTCCCTTTTGACCCTACATCAATGAATCTATGAAATATCAAAGTTCATTTCAATCACAAATGAGCACACCTATGAAGTAAAAAAAAAAAGCATCACATTACACAATATTTTGAAATCTCTTTGTTTTCCTGTTTGTTTTATGTCTGAAATAAAGGAAGAGGGCTTGAAGTTCAGATGGAGCTCAGTTATCCATAGATGCTACAGCTGCCTATCATAAACTGTGATTGTTAGTGCTACAGAAACAACACCTATGGTCTACATTCCATGGTTTTCTGTAGTATTTTCATTTGGAAATTTTTCCTGAAGTTTTTTTCTTAATTAATTGGGACATTCAAGAATGCTTTCACTATGATGTTAATAAAATGACCAGTGACCGTAGGTCCTCACTGATGCAGAAAGCACTTCAATGCATGGTTAACTAAAATGGAAATATTAACACACTGAAATAAAGCAAGTGCTTAAGTTTTATTATATTCATTGTTAATTGATATTTACTTTCCCTAGATACTCTAGCACTTCAGTTTTACTAACATGAACACTCATGAAAGGCAAAGATTGAACTGAAAAATCATTTTCTCCAGATAATTTTTCATTGCTTGCATTCTATCTTATAGTATAAAACACAAAATTAAAATAAAAACAAACATTGCTTCAGATGAAAAAAAATATTTTATTCTAAAAATGTCAACATAGTATGTTTTACTGTTGGTTAATTTTTTCACCCAAATTTCACCAACTTGTTTTAAACCTCCAAGAAGATGAACTGAACCTGTTTTAAAGATGTAAACTTTGAAATTCAATTTATTTTTATTTTTATTTTTGAACACCTCCTGACTTGAGAGAGGTTACTAGTAGCCACTTTTAAAAATACTTTAGGAAATGTTGTTCTTACTGTATTGCAGAAGTTATTATGAAGTACTTAAGTCCTATAGTCTAAAGTAAACTTGTTGTTTTGTTTACTGTTGGAGGAAAAAGTTTCTACAAAAAAAAAAATAGAATTTTAAACATTTTTGAAGCCTTCAGAAGATGACTAACTTTCCATCAGAAAAACAAAAAAAGGTCATTTATTTTCCCCAGTTATTAATCTGGATCTCAGCTTCTTCAATCTCTTTCTGAATGGTGGAGCCATGGGCACCAAGAGGTAGGGCATGATGTTCAAAAAACAGGATGTGGGCCCTAATCTACCCACATCATAAATGGCCCTAGGACGAACGTCTATTCCCTGATGGATCTTGATCTATCTCAATCTGGAGGGAGCCACATGCCAAGGGGCATTTTGCAAGTTGGGGCAGAGGGTGTTCTGATCCCTTTCCTCTGACAGCTCCTCAGAGGCTCTACCACAGATCAGGCACCAACTGTCAGTACCCCATGTCCCAGTACTGATACCCCCACTTCCTTATTAAAGCATGGAAGGATGAAGAGTGCCAGTCCCATTTTTGGACCAAACATAGGAGGTCTGAAGGGTGTCCAATCTGGCTCCTCCAGGGATCCAAACAGTGTCTCAGTGATTCTGATGATGCCAGGGCAGTCTGCTGGATAAGAAAGTTCCACACTACCTCATGTGGATATGAGAAGGATGCAGATGTAGAAGAAACCATTTACCCCAGGGGGTGGTGACTGAGTGCTGTCCAGCCCCATGGACAGGAAGGCAGGGTGGTACCAAGACAATGGGGGCCTACAGCCCCTAACCCACCATCCAAGACTGTCACCTGATGACACTTGTGAGGCCCTCCTCCCTCCCCTCATAGTCAGATCCTCCAACCAGCAGATTACAATGCAACCCCCGCAAAGGGAATGCCCCAGTGCATGGAAAGAAGGAGGTTGCACTATGCTGGGCAAATGACTAGGGAGCTAATTGCTGGAAGGCAGTTGCCAGTTTGATTATCCTCCAGGTAGACAGCAAATGGGTATGTGTAATCTCCCACAGCCTCAAATGAGGGTTGTTCAGGGTGACTAGAAGGAAACATTGCAACTCCTGGATCTGTGGGTTTGTGTACAAGAGGTAGGGATCCATGGATCCATGGATCCATGGATCCCTACCCCTTGACCCTTGTCCCTATAGTTGCCCTGCCAGGCAACTATAGGCCAGTCAGTCTCACCTCCATCCTTGGCAAAGTCTTTGAAAAAATTATCAAGGCTCACATTGGTGAGAGCCCGGCAGGACAAATTATGCTGAGGGGAAACCAGCACGGGTTTGTGGCAGGCAGATCGTGCCTGACCAATCTAGTTTCTTTTTATGACCAGGTTACGAAACGCCTGGACACAGGAGGAGGGGTGGATGTCGTATACTTAGACTTCAGGAAGGCCTTCGATACGGTATCCCACCCCATACTGGTGAACAAGTTAAGAGGCTGTGACTTGGATGACTACACAGTCCGGTGGGTGGCGAATTGGCTGGAGGGTCGCACCCAGAGAGTCAT